TGGAACATCTCTTGAATGCCAATGAGGAAAAACAATGGGGAATAAAGGTGATAACTGAATCCTAGAAACATGAATATTGAGAGAGAGGTTAAGAGTATTGTAGACAAAAAATTCAGAAGGTGAGACCAAATGGTTCAGGAATGGATACCTTTTTATAAGATTTTTCTTGGAAATCGTATCTGATTTCTTTATTTGTGATTATATATTTTTTCAATAGTTCCACTGTAGAAATTTTACAGAAAACATAGTTTCCTAATCGCTACTTAGGACAGCTGTGGCCTAAGGATCCAGCAAAATGTTGATTCTGCCAGAACAATTAAATAGAAGTGCCTCCTTATTTTTCTTCTTTTTCAATTTTTGAAAATAATTTAAATATGTGTGGAGAATGGATCATTTGAATTCTAGATCCTTTACATATTCTGTTTTTGGGACAGACAGAAAAATGTTGGCTCTTGGGGAAATTGACAAGTTTGTGATAACATTTATAAAAGTATTTTGTAAAAGTTTTAAGGAGTGCTCCTATGATCTTGTCTTAAAAGTTCAGCAATTTTGTTCATATTCGTCTAGCCATTCATATTAAGTCCCTTTTTAGATGCTTCCTTCAATATTTGCCTTGTTTTCCTGTGGGCACTTCAGACACCTTTGATTGTAGTTTACATCCCATGATGGTTAGGGTATCATCATAGATAGAGATAGATTCTCTCTTACAGCACGTGGTTCCAAAATTACCTATTTTTACTTAAGAGTTATAAAATGGAATCCCAGTATTAAATACCTAATACAATAGCCAAGCAAAGCTCACCTTATTTTTCAGCTTTCATTTTTGACATTTTCCAAAAATACGGGGTCTGAGAACCATAGGACAATTTAGTTCGCTTTGTTTTAGTTTCTAGTTGCAACTAATTAAATCTGCTCATTGCCGTTAAATTATTCTAAATGATTTATAATTGATCTATATTAATTTTGTCATGTGCAAAGGAAGAAAATGAAGAGACCTGCACAGGACTTGCGTATAATAGTAAGCCATAATTTAAATTTAGGTGTATGACCAAGAATTTTTGCAGTGTAAGCATCTACCCTTCAATTTTCTTTTCTCTGAAAGAAATACATGCAGCCGCTAATAGCAATAAAACAGGAATAAGCATAATTGTAGCAGTTATAATAGTTATGTTCATAATAGTGGTAGGTAATAGTGGGTGTGTTCCATATTAACTAAGCTCCCTCCCTTTCAGAATAGATACGCTGTATCATGACTTAGCATAATGTGTAAACCAGATTTGTGGCTTAAAATTAATTGTAGATAGTTTCTAAATAAGTCTACTTCATGTTAGCATTGTTTTTATGGTTTGTTTAGGAAAGCTGGTTTATTTTAAACCATAGCTTCTGATTTCTTTTTTAAAAGCAATATTTCAGTGAAACTGAAGCTTTTATTGCTCCCCATATGCATATAGAGAAGAATAGCTATTTTGAAATCCTGTCACTCTGGAGATCACTCCGTTGTACACATAACCATATATTATAATTGATCATTGTGAATGAAGCTGTTAACATTAATCTTTAAAGTTTGAGGTTGTTACATTATGGCTAAAACATTCTGGTAGTAAAACTTACATGTTAAGCAGATAAACGATGAATACATTATTATAAATTATCAAGATGGTAAATACACCAATTTATGAAAAATGCTGCAAGGTCTAATTCGGTGTCTTGGTCTGTTTCAGTGGAACAGGCACATTTGTTACTTGAGATTTATGATTACAAAATCAAAAACAAATATATCTTTATACATGAAATTCTACCATAACTCCCCAATTCTTATTTGGGATAATTTTGCTTTAGGATTAGACAACCTGTAGACCTCAGAACACTTCCAAAAGCTGATACTGAAAAGTAATTCTCAATGAATTAGAAGGATATTGTTTTAATATGTGGGGAGGATTAAATACATTTAGTTTTTGTCCTGACACATTTCTTTATCCTTATTTTTTATCCTGTGCAGACCCTGTTTTAACTGGACTTTATTGTTATAAAAACCAATTGATGCAAAAGAATGATTTAAATTTTTTTTCAGCTGATATCAACTGAATTTTAAATACTTATGCTATGTGTTCAAAAAAATCACTTTAATATTTATTTATTCAGTTTTTACATGTTCACATAGAGGGACTGTAAAGACTGGAATTTGTGTGGCAGAATTTTTGTGAAGAACCTAGCAATTAAAGCTTGAGAGAAACTTGCTATCTTCTGCCTACAGTGGAACCTCTGGCCACGACCAGAATTTGTTCCCTAACTTTGATCACAACCCAATTTGGTTGTGACCTGAACCTATTTTTGGAAATTTGGCGCTTACAAAAAAATGGTGCGGAAGGTAAAATTAGTTGCGGAAAAAAAAAAATTGAGAATTTTTTGGGCGGAACCCGATTTGGTTGTGGTCAGAAGCATTCGTGACCAGAGGTTCTACTCTATATAAATTTTTGCATTGGACCTCCCTATTTCAGCAGTATTTGAATGCCTTTGTTGATATAATCTTGTGCATCTTTATCAACTGTCGCCTATTTTTAAAAAGTGACTGCTGTTTCCACCCATTGCTTCTTGTTCTACCCTCAGGTGCCTTGGAGAATAGTTTGACTCCCTCTTCTTTG